ATGATCTACTGTGTACATTCATTACTCATTATTTCAAGAGCTGGTTGAAGCTGAAAACAACAGTTCTGGCTGCATCATACTATGAAAAACAAGGCAGTCAAGAATATATGATTAATGAATGAATGTCAAAAGAGCCGAAGGAAATGGAAGTGTTAGAACAAGGTACCATTTCTAAGGTGCACAGACATCTCAGAGATCCACAATGTCCTGGCATATTGGAGGGAGTAGAGCATAGTTTTGATCAGATTCTCAAAGAAAATTATGGCTTCAAAAGAGTTAATGAGTATTGGATAGATAAATAATTAAGTCACAGTTATTAGAGAAACTTGGGTAATCAACTCTGGCCATCTGAAAGACTACCATCACAAGAGTAACTGTTTTTTGTTTTTGTTTAAGTTCATCTATGGTACATTTCTTCAAGACAGAAAGCTAGACTGAATGGGCACCATTCTGACCCAGCAAAGTCTTTGCTATATTTCTTTGGCATAGAAGGGAGATAAACCCTGAAAGGCTTTTTTCCCTTTAAAAAGAAAAATGACAAATTTCAAGATACTGTCTTTCTGGATAAGAAACAGTACCGTCGTGTAGCATTTCCCATGTGTTCACATTTGATTGTGGGAAGTGAAACTATGTCAACATGTAACTCCCTAGAATAGGAATCACAACATTTCACACGCTGCTTCCTTCCCAGCGAAGTGGCACTATTCCCTTTGCCCTGTCCAGTGAAAGCAGCATACGTGTGCATTATGCACCGAACTGTGTCTTCTTAAAATTCACATGTTCAAGTCGTAACTCCCAGAACCTCAGAATGTGATCATATTTAAAGACAGAAACTTTAAAGACGTAATTAATTTAAAATGTGGTCATTAGAATGGGCTCTAATCCGATATGATCAGTGTCCTTATAGGAAGAGGAGATACACACACAGCACAGAGGAAGAGCCATTGTGAAAACACAGGGAGAACATGGCCATTCATTCATACATGAGGGAAGGCAATATAACTTCCTTTCCAGTCCTTCTTTAAAATGTGGTGCACGGTGTTAAAGCCCTCTACCACACCCTACAGAGCTGAATGGAGTTCCTAAGTATTCTATGAATTCATTAATAGCCACCTTCCTGGGACTTAAAATTAAGGAATAGGTTTTGCAGTTAAAACACCTAATTGGCCAACTATTTCGATGAATTTATTATAGAAAATGTCTCTTTTGAGGATTTAAAAATATTGAAAAGCAACTTAATAGTGGATCAATGCTAATGGTAATATTTTACCCAAAGAGAATAGAAAATTTGCATCAAAAAGAAATATATTAAAAAATATCAGATGGTAACTGAGACTCATGTTTCAGTGAGTTTCTTAAGAGCCCTCAAGCACATAATGGTTATTTGGTTATTAAAAAAAAAAAAAAGATTTTGTTATGATAATTGTGAACATTGAAAGATAAAAGTTCTTTCTAATTAATAAAATAGGGAGGGGAGGATAGGGAGAGGTTGGTTAATGGATACAAAATTATAGCTAGATGGGAAGAATTCCAGTGTTCCGTACCACTGTAGGGTGAATACACTTAACAACAATTTATTGCATATTTCCAAAAAGCTAGAGGAGAGAATTTTAAATGTTTCCAACACAAAGAAATGATAAATGTTTGAGGTGATGGGCATCTTAATTATCCTGATTTGATCTTTACATATTATATACGTGTATCAAAATATCATTCTGTACCCCATAAATATGTACAATTATTATATGTGAACTAAAAATAAAAGGAAAATTTAGTTGAGTCATCTCCAAAGCTCTAATCTTGATGACATTTACTTCTTATCCAAAATCAATCAGCTGCTAAACATGTACATTTATGAACCATCATCTCTTGTCTCTCTAAATCAAATAAAAGGGTGATAAACACCAATTTTCATATAGTTAATTAATGCAAAATAACTTTTAGGGTATGAGAGAAAAATAATAGCTAAAGTTTTCCTATTTCATCTTTGCATACCTTAACCCCCTACCAGAAGAATGAATAATTCCTCATGTTTCAGAAATGTCAGCCCACAGCAGGTCTTTCTAGAATTGATTATTTCACAAATACATTGTTGTATTCAAAAGGGCCAAATTAACAGCAAATGAGTTATGCAGGAAGTTGAGAGTGCTCTTTATGTAACAATGAACACCTAATTAAATTATAGATGTTAGAGTGTTCTGTAACATAAATTATCTAAAATACCATATATATACATAACCACCATTTATTTACAGCAGTAAATAGAGTTAATAGCAAAAGACAAATTACATTCCATTCTTTGCCATTCAAATCGCCCTTCAGTTGTCATACAGAGATTATAGAGCACATTATGAGTGAATATTAATAAATCATTTTAATTCATAACAATAAAAAAACAAGATTTTTTTTCCTTTCAAAAAAGAAATACTATAAGACATTATGAAACAAGAAAGAAACTAGGACTTACCTACATTTTTGTTCCCTACCTTTTTGACAAAAAATACTACAAATCTGACAGCCTTTGTAAATTGAAGCGAAATCTCAAAATAATAGTTCTACATTCTATTTTGTTCTGTTGTTTGTTAAGAGCTTAATGATTTGGAAAGTCATTTACTTTCAATAATTAACCATAAATATTCCCACTGGGAAATGTCCTTTGAAAGTACTTTTAAAAAAATTCACTTTCAAACATTAGACATTTTCTGTTATCAATGTATTTCATTGAATGACAGTATTGTCATGGAAAAAAATACAAACTTACGTGTCATACACATTGAGTAACCAGTTGAGACACATGTCCACACAGAGCGGGACGTTGACCAGGTCCTTATGCATTTGTTCGAGTCCATCGTAAGTTGTTGTCAGACAGTTGATGACATCTGGAACACTAAGGAGCTGATCATTTTGGTTCAGCTTGTGCTGTTTGAAAACTTCATTTGTTGTATTCAACTCTAAGAGATCCACTAATTAGGTGAGAAAAAGGATTATGCACAGTCATTACATGACAACAACATTGAAACAAAAACACTTGTAGTCTCAAGTATTTAGCTCGATTCTTCAATTTAAGAATCTATCCTTTTTTAGCTAATTTCAACTTATAAAGAAATAAACACGTTTCCATTCTGACATTTCATCACATTTCCATGCTTTTCAACCTGAACTCTGTTGCTTTTCAGCTTTATCCCATTTTTTTGCTCTTTGTAATACCAATTTTCCTACTTTCCTTTTCTGACTTTCCCTTCTCTAGGCTCTTTCTGCTTTTAAATATAGAAAGGCATGAATCTTTAAATCCACTCCAAATGGTAGAACATCTCTAATATTATACTGCTGTCCTCATCTTAACTCCTGCAAACAACCTGCTCACCAACCTCCCCTTCATCCTTTATATCACTGCCAAACTAACTGTTCCAAGTTTCTTAACATGTACATCATGACAAACAAAGTTCACTGAAGATGCTCAGTTTAAAAAAAAAAAAACAAAATCAAAAGGTTCTGTAGAGAAATAATAGTTCTCCACTGCCTACTGAATGGAGCCGGATCTATGAGGCCATCACAATCTGGCCCTAACCTGGTTTACTTCCCATGATGCTCTGACTTAGAGGCAACCTGTAGCTGAGGAGGAGGAGTAGAGGTTCACAGGACAGACCCTGTATCCTTTGGTCTTCATATATTTGCTCCCATCCTTACTCTTCACGTGTAGAACATCCACAGTGGGCATGACTGGGGCTAGAGCAGGGACGGTGTGCACAGAAGGCCAAGGCAGAGCCCCTGCTCTCAAAGACATACTGGCAACTTTACTAAAAGGAGGAATAACCGTGCCCTGAGAGAGGAATACACAATTTCTATGAGAACGATTACTGCTAGGGCAGAGGAAGGACAAGTTGGCAAGGCTCTAGGGAGACAAGATTTGAAATGGGCCTTGAAAAATAGATAAGATGCAAGAGATCCATGCGAAGCAAGGAAAGAATTCCAGGAGTACAGAACTGCTTGAGAAAAGACAAGAATTTAAGCCAAGTCCGGGATGCCCGAGGCCTGGTGGACTGCAGTGTGGACTGCAGTGTGGACTGCAGTGTGGATGGTGTGTGGCTTACACATGGGTGCCGCACGGTTACAGACGGGCCAGGCACACATTGCCCCTGGGGGCCCACAAAGGCCAGAAGGGGGAGTTTAGACAAAAAAGATGGAAAAAAAAAAAAAATATATATATATATATCTTTAATTTAGTCAACTTTGGGTCACTCATTAGCTAACTGAAAATAAGGAAACAAAGAAGATTATCAAACTACCCTGTATTTATACATTTCTTAAGCATGAAGATGACTCTTCCAAATATAAACATATGGGTAAGGAAAATTACAGAATCCACATTAATTTAAGGTCTGCTTATAGAAATTATTTTATAAAATTCTTCCTCTATTTCCAATATTTAACATTTTAGTATTAAAAAGATAAGCTTGGTGGAACTTTTAAATACATACATACATACATATATATGTATATAAAAACAACTACTTTCTCTTTGCCTGATGTAAAAACTCTTCCCTCAGAAAATATAATGACATATTTTGACAGTTAACTAAAATGAACAAATAGCTTCCTTTGCATTTATCTATTTTTAACCATTGAATAACCACTAAATTGGGATATTTAAAGACATTTATGAAATGTGCTCATGCTAGCTGCTCAAATACCATAGAATTATTTATTTTTTCAAATTATCTACAATGGGAAAGAACTGCTTTAAAATTTTGCAGATTAAAATGATTTCAAAAACAACTCAACAGGGAAGACATTCTTTTTAATAAAAGAGAGAAAGAGATAAACATAAAACACCCAAGTCTGGGTAATAGGCCAATCCATTTCTTTCAGATGTCAAATAAATCCTTGGTAAACTTAAGCTAATAACAAAAATAACTCAACATAAACTTCACGTGAGTTAGAGATGGTGTCAGGAAAAAAAAAAAACAAGAACCCAAAAGGTAGATATGCTCACATTCTAACTCCTAGAACTTTATTTGGAAAAAAGGGTCTTTGCAAATGTAATTGAGTTGAGATTATCCTGGACTATCCAGGTAGGTACTAAATCAAAGGTCAAGTGTCCTTATAATCGATAACTAGAGGAGAGAGACGAGAGGAGCACATGAATTTGAAGGTAGAGACTTGAGTTGTAGAGTTTCAAGCCAAGGAACACCTGGAGCCACCAGAAGCTGGACTATGTAAGGGAGGATTGTCCCCCAAAGCCTTCAGAGGGAGCATGACCATACTGACACCCTGATTTTGGACTTTTGGCTTCTAAAACTGTGAGAGAATAAATTATTATTGTTTTAAGCCAAAAAACCCTAGAACCATCTGGAATTTTCATTGTCATTTTCAACACATTTCCTGGTGCTATATAGTTGACCGTTGAACAACATGGGTTTGACCTGAGCAGGTTCACTTATCCATGACTATTTTTCAATAAAAGTTACACCGAGTGTGCCTGCCTCTTCTTCCTCGCCTCTGCCACCCCTGTGACAGCAAGACCGACCCTTCCTTTCCTCCTCCTCCTCAGCCTACTCAACCAGAAGACAAGGATGGAGACCTTTATGTTGATCAATTTACACTTAATGAATCGTAAATGCATTTTCTCTTCCTTATGATTTTAATACCATTTTCTATTCTCTTGCTTAATAGTGTAAGAATACCATATATTATACATATAACATATAAAATATGTGTTAACTGATTGTTTATGCTATCCATAAGGCTTCCAGCCAACGGTAGGGTAATTAGTAAATTTGGGGGTAGTCAAAAGTTATACGCAGCACCCCGAACCCTCTATTGTTCAAGGGTCAAATATAGGCTGTTTTCAATTATAAATATCTAGAGCAGGGGTCCTCAAACTTTTTAAACAGGAGACCAGTTCACTGTCCCTCAGACCGTTGGCAGGCTGGACTATAGTTTAAAAAAAACTATAAACAAATTCCTATGCACACTGCACATATCTCATTTTGAAGTGAAAAGACAAATGGGCAAAAACACCCGCATGTGGCCCACGGGCTGTAGTCTGAGGACGCCTGCTCTAGAGGGTAGGAGAAGAATTCAAATTCCTCCTCCACAGTGCCTGCCAAAGCGAGGTGTTTAATCAAAACACAGGAGCCACAGAACTACAATTCCCCACAGACACAAAAGACCATATTTAAATACTGCCAAAAGGCATTATGTTTTTTGATTTCCAACATTAATTATGCCAGCAATACAGCACTGCTATTGGATCCCCACATGGCAGAAAGCGACAATAGACCAAATTCCGAAAAGCCAATTTCCTGAATCAGGCTGTCCTTGCATTTCTTTCAGAAGTCTCCCTGGCTCTACACTCTGTAGCTGTGACAGTAATTTGCCACATCCCATGGACTTTCATGTCTTCAATTTTTAGTGATTTACTCTGACACTTTGCCTTAGTGTCTAAGCCAAGCATACATCTTTCTGAAGTGTGTCACATTGAGGTACCTTTAAAGCACTGACTACATTTAAATCACAGAAAATTATGATTATGATTTTCCCTTTTCAAAGGGAGACAAATGACAGCTCAGTCATGTGGTAAATGAAACACAAACAGCAGAATCATTTTTTATCCAACTTTTAGACTTTTTCTTTAATCCTACATATGAGGCACAGGGGATCTAATAGAAATGCATCATCATTCTCTTGTTCTGCAAAACAAAAACAAAAACAAAACTGACACCGGTTAGCACCCAACCTTGGGCTTGTGTGATTCTTCTTCAGGTCTCAAGCTGTTTCACCATTCATCCTTAGCACTTTTCCTATATCTTCTTCCCAGCACCACAGAAACGCAGTATGCTCAAAGTTTCCTGTCTGGCTTTTTATCTATTAACCTGATGCCCTCATTCCCGGTCACCACTTCCATTATCACCTCTGTCTCCCGATGGCTCCAGATTCTGTTTTCTCCTTCTGATCTGCCTGAACACTTGATCACACTCCCCTAGGGAATCACACTTCCCTACCACAGCTAGAACTTCTACCTTAACCTGTTCCAAATAAAGGTTTTGCCTTCTCGTCATGCTGAAATCCACTCTGCAAATTCTGAGCTATCCTAACACCCTCCTGCTTTCAGCCTCCATAAAATTTAGCAACTAACAAATTCCCCAAGCCATCAGTTTTCCCTCGGGCAGTCTTACAAATCCAGATCCTCATCTCCCACCCTCCTACTCAGCCATTTCAGCCTTGACCAACTTTCGCCTGAACTATTTACTCATTTTCTGTTTCCTGTGCCCTTCAGTCTCTCTTAGACATTATCTAAAGCATGTGTCCATCTCCGGCCCTATCTCCAAACTCTCACAAGACAGAAAATGGTTCATAGCTCTCCACGCTATAAAGAAAAATATCCAACACTATGAGAGCTTGAGGAACCAAAAAAAAAAGGAAGAAAGAAAGGAATTTCAGGAAAGAAATGACCTTTGAATTGACCTAAATTGACTTTAAGGAACTTTCCGGATATTGGACAAGTAGCTAAGCTACTCCATTCAGGATCCATTACTTGATGTTCCCTGAACTCCATCCACATATTTGATTCTCACACATACCACTCCCTTTCTTCCTATTCCTGGTTAATAGCCACGTGCTTAAGTTGTCTGTGGCTTTTATGGCCTGGCTATTATGTCTGCTACCCAGGGAAACTTGACTTCTTCATGATGAAGGAACTCTCTCCCTCCTCTGAATGCATTTTCCTTTTGCTTCTCTGCTATTCCTATAACATAAAGTTTTGAAATTGAAATACAAAAGGATATATATAGTTCGTTAATTCATCACATAGCTAAAGATGTAGAATGTCACCAATATTTCCGAAATCCTCCTTAATCACACCCCCACATAATCACAGGGGTGACCACTGATCTTAGTATTTCACTTTCAGGTTTTAAAAGTTATGTATGCATCTCTAAATAATGCAGCATTTAGTTCCGCATGGCTTTGAATTATATACAAATGGAACCAAACTATACAAATTTCTCCTACCACTTAATTTTTTCATTCAATTTTATAATTCTAAGATTCAACCATGATGATGCTGATTGCTAGCTCATTTATTTTTGATGCTGTATCATTCCGCATTTATGAATATGCTAAAATTAAACAGATTTTACTATTAAAAAGTGCTGCTATAAATCTCCTTGTACATGTCTTCTGCTGCGCTGCTGTGCAACCTTCAAATTCAAATGCTTTACTCCGTATGTCCTAAACAACTCCTGCTCTGTGCCAGAAACTATATGAGATCCTAAGTGGGGAAGAACACAGAATCACCCCTCCCATGAAAACTTAGTCCACGTGTAGACACAGACACTAAATATGTAAATGAATAGAGTAATAAAATTCATGAGTGATACTTTGCCTTAGTGCCTAAGTTAAGCACCGTGACAAGTGCCACATAAGGAAAGAATCAGGTCTACAGGGAGCCACGGAAACCATCTTAAAACACGAGTTGCTCAAGTACAAACAGCTAAGACAAAAACTCTTTGAGCAGGAGGAACAGAATACAGAGTTTGCCATGTCAATCACCAACTTGATGATGAAATGATGACATCCTGGTGGAGTACAGTGATGGAGGTGGACAGAGAGATGCATCTGGAAAAGGCCATTCCACTCTAAGGGCAAAAGGAATCTGCTATAAGCAGGGTCATCGCGCCCACGTGTAATGTTCTCTCTCTGAACTTGAGTTCCTTGAGTGTAAGAACCAAGTCTCTTTATATTGTTTTATCTCCTGCACAATCCTGGAGTCCAGTGAGTGAATGAACAATAGCAGTGTGCCTTCTGCCTTAGGGCATTATGCTGGGAAGGGATTTACACAAAATGAGAGGGGACCTTGACCTAAAGCATAACATCACGCCTATCACACAAAGGCAAGCATATGTCCTCAGGTGAGAAACTGTCATTACAGGCAATCATAAAGTACCAGAAAAACTGGAGGCAGGTGTGATTAGCTTGTAAATGTCTCCAAAAGAGGTAAATTTTTAACAGTATTTAGGAGGAATAAAGGGTTACAGGCCATTGCAGAGGAAAGGTCAGGACAGTTCAAGTAAACAGAAAGGATGGGAGAGGAAGCAGCAGATTAATCATGAACAGGTAAGCTCCAGAGTGGCGCACAGGCCCCGTGATGGGCAGTGGGGGAGGAGGCAGGGGCAGGGGTGGGAGGGCCAGATCCCAGCTGGCTCTAAAAACAGCACCTTGAACATTCAAAATCCAACACAACCCAGTACTTTTCTAACTGGGCATTACCAAATGTCATTTAGTGTAGAAGTCAGAGGAGTGTCCCTTCTGTTACTCTCTCAGATCTCAGGGAATGAACTAAGGAGGGAGTTTTTTCTTTAAGGGGTCAAAAGAACCAACAAAAGAAAACACTAAATGTGTTAATACGTTTATCCAGGCCGGGTGTGGTGGCTCACACCTGTAATCCTAGCACTCTGGGAGGCCGAGGTGGGCGGATTGCTTGAGGTCAGGAGTTCAAAACCAGCCTGAGCAAGAGTGAGACCCCATCTCTACTATAAATAGAAAGAAACTAATTGGCCAACTAATATACAGAAAAAATTAGCCAGGCATGGTGGCACATGCCTGTAGTCCCAGCTACTTGGGAGGCTGAGGCAGAAGGATTGCTTGAGCCCAGGAGTTTGAGGTTGCTGTGAGCTACGCTGACACCACGGCACTCACTCTAGCCTGGACAACAAAGTGAGACTCTTGTCTTTAAAAAAAAAAAAATACATTTATCCACCCAGAAGTACCACTGAAAACTGGGACCATGTTTGTAATGACACAAAGCAGGCTTCTGTCAATGGAGATTTTGTGGCTGAGTCATTTGTCCTCGTTTTATAGCTCATCAGGCCTGAGAAGACCTTCCAGACTTGTCAGCTGGGTCCTTGGCTTGCAGCTGAGCCTCTTTCTAAACTGCTGTCACCATGGACTCCCTGCGCAGACCAAACATCCCTTTTGTGTGCTTGTAATTTACTTCCTATTCTCTTCTCAACATACAGATCGCTAGCTGGAGTGTGTTGACTTTCATTCTTTGCACTGGTTAATTCTGCAACACTTGCTGTGACTACTACAACCTGCTAATTATCTTTGGGGCTCTGCGGATTATTCAGGAGTCAAGGTCATCTCATTCTTTCTGGCTCATCTGGAGGTGTTTTAAAGCCCTTTCGACTTCTCTTCCACACATATTTTAAAGCTTTTCTTATTTTAAGCTTTGCATTGCTACATTTTCTCTAAATGATTCTATACCTCGCTTTTCTCAACTCTCCTCATGTACACAGCTTAAAATTCATTGATAATTTCTATTGACTTTCAAGGAGCAGATTTTCAACCCTAATATATCATTTTTCTAAGGATGATTTTCAAAGGTTCACTCAACTGCCTAGATATATATCAACAATCAACAAAAGGTAGCAAACAAGAATACTTAGAACTTTCCAATTTCTTCTCTTAAAAGCATCGACATATGTCACTTTTCATAACAACTATCTGATAATATATAAATGTTATTTGGATAGACTCAATCATTAAAACTAAAACCAATACTATAATCTGCATAGCTTAAATCTATATTATAAGCATTCATATTTCTACTTAATTGTAGGTTATTTGGGGGGAAAGTATTCTTTTAGTAAAATGACTATCACAGAGTATCATTCTGAACACATTATCAATGAAAAAAATAGATGCATTGATAATGCTAAATTCTCAAGAGACATATTTAAAGAAAATAGAGCCTTTTATCTAATTTGCTAAGGTGCCAGTTCAAATTTCCATTAGGAATATGATTTTTAAGTGTTTCGTTATTATGGGATTATGTTGAGACAAATTGTAACACTACACTTTCAAATGGATACAAAGTACTAAAAAGGCAATGACCCACTGCTTTGATTCCTTGATTTCATCTTTTTAAATTGGGTTGCAGCATAATTTTTGGAAAAGCTTTGCACATTACTCCTGTGTTTTGGTTAAGTTTGTTCTCCATCTGAGAATGGCATATGTTCAGTTGTTTCAGTACTGCTTGCTGATGGGCCAAATGATAGAGCTTTAATAGAAACACAGCCAACTCCTTAAGTAAGGTACACTGTTCAGATTAACTCTACAAACACATCAACCTCTTCATTTATCTTTCTCTTAAAAAAAAAAAAAGGCAATCCAAAGATTAGAGTGATTAACTTTGGTAGAATAACTTACAACATAGTGCTTTTTGTAATCTTCGAATTTTGATTGCTGTACGGTAGGCAGAGAAACGTACATTATTCAGGTCAGCTGAAATGGAAAAAGGAACAATTCACAAGCATGCTTATTATTTAACTAACATTGAGTGCCCAGAATGCATTTGCTCACTTCAGATGATGGAAAAACACTATGTCTGTCTGAAATAAGGTCTTCACCTAAATTCTACAACATGTATTTAAGAAGTTAATTAAATGACTATTAGCACCATATTGAGATATCTCAAAGCAGTGCTACACAGTAAATTGCAAGAAAGCATTTTCAAATAGGTGTCAGGGTTCAGAACATGATACCCCAAAGTATGGTGCCTTGGTGCACTAAGTACTTAGAACTGAAGGAGCTTGGAAGGCCTCAGAAGCAAGGTCTTCCTGATCTTCTTCCATCCTCCTGTCTCCTGTCCCCTGTCCCACTTTCTTCCTTCCAAGTGATGCACAGAAACCAGAATTCCTCTTCCCCAAGGTGAAACATAGACACTTGACCTTCTCTTCCTGAAAGCAAGCCATAAGACTTACAAAAGTCACTGTCTGACCTTATCTTCTCTCCCTTGAAGACCCTGTGTGACAGCTGTCCTGTCCCAGGGGGAAAAAAGGCCACACAGAGAGGCCCAGAAGAATCTGAACAGACAGGCTTCGCTGAGTTTCCCCTCAGTCTATCACCACTAGATCACACCCTTTTGTCCCATCACTGGTTGTCCATTCTTCACTGAACCTAAGCATAAAACCAGACACTTTCCCCTGGGTCTTTGGGTCTTCATTTCTGAAGGCTCCTATGTCACATAAAACTTTGATTAAATAAATTTGTTATACTTTATTCTGTTAACCTGTCTTGTGTTATAAGAGTATCACTGTGACACTTATGATGGGTGAGGAATGGTGTTGTACCTTTGATGGACAATTAGGTTTTTTTTTCCACCAAGCTGTCCATCTCACTACTCACGAAGCTCTGAACTTACTTTGAAGTTCCTTTCATCCTGATTTATTTGCTTCTCCTGCCCCTTTGTAGATCTGATTAAAATGATTCTATAATCAATGTTCAGATCTTCAGAAACAATGTATATTTCAATTTCTTTCTCTGCCTTCTAAAGACAGAGTATCAGAGACTAGTGAAGTTAGAAGAAAACTCAGAAATCATCAAAATCTGCCCACTCATTTTAAAAACCAGTAGCTTTTCTCCTGCTTGTCCAACCTTTGCAGAATCCCTCACCCATCCAAGTAGCTCATGCGGTAGCCCAATATTTACAGAGATAAAAAGGGGCACCCCTCTTGCTGAAATGGGAGTGGGAGAGGGGGGCCTAGTGTGCTGCTCTAATCCTCCAGCAGCCCTTGAGTTAGTTACACAAAGAGAAAACTTTCAAAACTACTGGAAAAACCTGAAGGAAGTAGGATAAATAGTCAGTTGAAAGTCATATTCTAGAAATTAAAACAAAACTGGAACTTTCATCTAATGTGCTTTCTTGCATTTTTATATTAAAATGAAATGAAATTCGATAAGCTAATTTGATGACATTTACTAAGTAAAAAGAGAGCCAAAAGCAAATTTAAAGCAGTGGATTAGAGGTTGCTATATTTTAACTGTGTATATATATATATATATATATATATATATTCTCATTAAAGCTGGAGTTTAAGATGACTCACTACGAGGGAATTAAAACCTACAAATACATTCCTCCCTGTCCTTCTACTTTTCTGTTTCACACAATTTCAAACCACACGATTCTCTTTAAAAGAAAGGCAATACCTGTTTATTGCATTGTCCTTAGAAGTTCAGCTGCTCTTACATGTTAATGACATGGATTCAATGTAATATGCCATTAAGAAAAGCTGGTTATAAGTTTCCATTTAAGAATATGAAGTGCTCAGTTCTGTAGGTTAATTCATTACTATTAAATAAAACAACACTCACCAAGGGATTGAAAGAGTTCAGTCATTTTAGGATGATCCCAACAGGTTGTCTGTGTTTGATGGCTGGAAACAAAAGATACAATTTAAAAAATAAAAAAACTATAAAACATAATATAGGCAACACAGAAAACACCCAAATAGAAATGTTTTTTTTTTCACATTTGTATGCAAAATTATCTCCATCATGGAACACACAGAAACCCCAGTGTCCAATTATTACTTAATATTTGAAACACTGAAAATAAAGTTCATTTGAACAACTATATTGTGAAAAGACAGATGAAATTTTTTTTTTGCTAATTTCAAAAAGAATTGCAGCTAAAAATTAAAACCTAGATCTAAAGTCTGACTGTCACAGACCCTCAAGTGGTAGGCTTGATGTGGCCAGATCAGTGGAGGTTCTAGAATAATTGTATTTCTGTTAAGCAGAAATAGATTTTCATTCAGAGCAAATCTTCTGACAGAAGAAGTGCTGTGAAGAGTTGCTATACTTTAAAAGTCCTAATCAAACTTCCAAAGACCAGGGATATGAATAGTTCGACTCTGGTCTTGAACTCCTAGCCTTGGTCCTCCCCCTTCAGCCTCCCAAAGTGCTGGGATTAGAGATGTGAGCCACCACGCCTGGCCTAAGAGTTTAACTCTGAATAACATCACTTCACCATCTGTGGAGCCTCCCTCCTCTTTGACCTTGCATGGAAATTTCCTCAGTACAAATTTGTTCTCTCCCTGTCTTCATGGCAATCTGGATTCCCCACTCCCCTTTGGCTGTTTTTCCTGTTTGCTGTTTTCACTCTGCACCCCTCTTCTCAGCTTCCCTCATAAAACCGGCATTAGTTTTTTGTATGGATTCCTCATGATCCTTATTCCTCATTTTTAAAGCAAGTTTTATACATTCCCTTTTTCTGCAAATTCTAAAATGAATTCATGTATTAGTCAAAAGTCTTTGGGGAATAAGATGAAGATAAAACAGATAAATAGAGTGCTTAAATTAGGTTCCTTAGAGTGTGTGTGTGTGTGTGGGGGGGGTAACAGCTTACAACTTCGATGGTCCAGTGGACTCATATTTAAAAAGAGTTCACTGCCCCTTATCTAGGTCAGAATAGAGCAATAACATTTAATAGTTCTCCAAAGACTTCTTAGATGACATTCAGTTTTTATAAAACTGTTTAGTGAGCTAAGTGAAACAGCATAGTACACAAGAGAGTGTGATATTAAAATATTCATTAAATCAAATTTAAGAGAAATTGTTTTGTAAAAACCTATGCAATATATCAAAAAGTGGGGCATGTCACTGGGAATAGAATATAATCACTGTTATATAAACCCCAAATAACTCATAATTTGCTTTGAAAAATATTCAAAGTTTATACATGAAATTGGGTATGTAAAATGTCCTGGAAATTCCAAAATCTCAAACAAAATAATATACCTATGATGTGAAGATCTGTCTTGGGAAGCGGTGGAAGGTTCTAGAAGGTTCTAGAAGGTTCTCTTCTACCCTGGTTCTAGACTCCAATGCAGAGGCAAGTGTTTCCCTTGCATGGTCTGCTACTGAACACCAACAAAACCATTCCACCCGTTCACAGTCTAAATTGCTGCAAAGACCATGGAGCAAGTACTGATTGTCTGATCTAAATTCTTACTATTCACAGTCTGGCTCAGAGCTTGCCAGAAATGTGGAATCTCAGAAAGAATATTCTCTCTACCATCAATAAGAATTAAAAAAGGATTTGCTGAAAAGATGCAATTTCAGCAATGTCTTCAGGGCCCCCAGTCTTAGACAGGCTACCAAAATTCAGTCGATCTCTTGTCTTCTCTTTCGAGTAATTTCAATCCCCATGGCAACAGTACCGTCCAGAAACAGATATCCCATCGTGAAGGAAGAAACCTAGGCTCAAGAACCAAACTAAATCCATCAGTAATGCAGAGCTGGACTTTATACTTAAACAAGAAATATAAGCACACTTCCTCTAGAATCACAGATGTGATGCTTCACGTCACACAACCCCTCCAGAACCACCAGGGGAAAGTACCACTACCCGGCCAGGAGAAGACTAAGAATTCAAGAAGAACACCGCTTGCTAATGGCTCTTTTTAGTGAAGCCACTCCTGCGAGCTGAGGGAACGCACACATTTGGCAAACAGATGGAGAGAGGGAAACTGCATCTCCCTTTGTGACTTCAATACCAGTTGATTCATTAGGCAGAACTGCCAATGCTGAAAATAAATACAGCCTCTGGTTACAAAAGTATAACCGCAGCTTACCAAACAACAGTTTTTTAAAAAAGTAGATGCAGTTGGCTGTTGGATTTTTCTTTTTTCTTTTTTTCAAGTGGGGAGAAAAGGTTAAAGTAAAATCCACAATGAACCTAAAGGCTTAAACTATTTGAACAGCTGCAGAGAGAGCTCAGCTCCTCCTGCCAGAAGGCTTCGAGTTCTCCCAGACTAACAACCAAAACAGAATAACAGTAGCATTTCTCCCCCAAATGACAACAGTGTGGCTTCCAAATACTCTCAAATATGAAAGGGGAGTGGTGTTTCATATTGTGTTGCTTGATAAGCTTGAAAATTAAATTGTAATTTTGTTACTAAAATCTTCTTTTTTAAAAGGCAACACAGACACAGGAATCTAGCCAAGAATAAAATAAAAATCAAAAATCTAACAAAGCAGCAATTAACAGTTCAATCCAAAATCACAAAAAGCAAACAATAGTGAGAGCGTGTGACATATAACAAGGGTGCCCAGACATCCCAGCTTTGCCTGTGTAGGGAAAACTTGTGAAGGTCCCTGTTGTAAAAGCAAAAATATTAGTGGGTATCCTATAAAGTTTAAATTATCTTTGAGCTATTTTTAACTCTGCAAACTTAAGAAACTTGATAGCAATGCAAATTATTTTTGTCCAAAGAAATGCAAATTGGGCCCATGGGAATGCAATTGATTATTGTCTTGTGTATATTGATCAGTTTGTCAGCTTGCATCTACAGGTAAATTCATTTTAGTTTCCCTTATCTGACTATAAAGATGCGGCACTTTATATTCTCTTTGGAACCTATAACAAATTCTCTCTGGTTCCCGTATAAATGAGTTAAATGAAATATTTGACACATAAGCTCTTTTTATATTTGTATAAGAGTCAAGATCTTACCTATTTGGGAAAAATTATCCTTCAGCACCTGGGACAAACCTGCTTAATACTGGACTGTATACTGGAATTATACATTACTGTCCTGGTATAATTATTAAAAGTACCCTTTATTATTAAGGGTCCCAGTTGAGATAACATGTAGTCCCTACATTTTATGGACTTTATTGAAATATTAAACCAATAAGGTTAATATTAAACCAATAGTAAGCAGTGTATCCCTGTATCTATTTTTATTTGTAACAACATACTCTGATAAGCCACAGAAAGTAAAATACAAGTAATATAACATTGTACAACAACAAACAAAATGTTGTGTCCCAACACTGTCTAATATAGGAGACAATGAACCCACAGCAAGGTCATGTGCTTTTGATAGAAATCGGTATGATGCCGATTTCTGGGCAAATGACTGCTGGGGAAGATACTCTTTAAACCTATCTGTCCTCGTTAGAGTGGTCTCATTTTTTTCCATGAAACCTTAAAAGATGTTCAGAAGGCATCCTGCTTGTCCCCAAACTGACAGTCAAATATACCTACTTATTACTAGCTACCTAATTTTATGCTCATAACTGGATTTTGTGAGGTTTGCTATTTATCATTCCAATTATAATTATAAAGGCATATAAGAGAAAAAACTAAAGGTAAGTGAGGTTAAGTAAAAATATTAATGTGGGAAAAAGAACTATGTATATTGCTCTGGGATAAGACGATCACAGGAAGAGAAAAATCTCTTCTTGCCCTGCCAAGAGATATATAACATACTAAGTCAGAATGTATAATATCAGTTACAGTAATAGCCTCTTATTTGAGTGCTCAATTTGTACCAAGCACTTTTCCAAACTTTTTCTATGTGTACTCTTGATTCACATGACAAATCTGTGATCTGGGTGACAATATTATCCCCATTTTACAGACGAGGGCAGAGAGCACTCAGACAACTTGCCCAAGGTCACACAGTAATAGAAATGGGATTTGAACACAGATGTTCTGAATTTAAGCCTGAGCTCTTGATACGGAAGTATATTTGCATAATGAAGGTTTTAAAATATTTCTTGATGAATCTGTCCAAATTTCAGTCCATGGTCTATCATTATAATCATTACAAACAACCTCATCTCTCTTGCTTCTCTCACCCCTGGCAAATCCCAGGCCTGGAGTAGCTCAATTACTCGCCTTCTCTGGACCTGTGCAGCTGTGGATGAAGACAACTGGAGAAAATCACTCAAAAGACGGACTGATTTTACTTTAAATATTTGATTTCAAACCTCAAATGTCCAACTGCTGGCAACTGCACTACGCGCCCTAATAAACTTTCTTTCCTAAACTCCAAGACGATGATTTACTCCTGTCTTCTCTCTCCCCAAACTGAAGAAAGTTTCCTTCCCTGCCTCAGTGCCACCTGACTTCGTCTCACACTTCATTGAAAAACTAAAACCCAAGAAATTAGGACTCCTTTATCTTCCCACCACCAAGTCAGTCAGCCTCCCATCTGCCCGTGTGTCTTCCTCTCTCCTCCTTTAACTGAGACACTGTCCCCTCCCCTATCTAAGGCCAATTTTTCCCAAGGATTTCTTTAAAAACTCTAGTGCTGACCTATCAACCCCTCTCTCAGGAAGACTGTTCTCCTTAGAATATAAGTGTTTACAGATCTGCTGTGTTTAAACACACACACACACACCCCTTGAATCTACATTTCCCACTAGCTATTTTTCTCTCATTCAGACAAAGGTCACAACTGAGTAGTGCACTGTATCCACCTCCCTTGGCCTCTGACTCTCTCTCTCTCTCCTGCACCCAACCTGGTCCTACCAAAATTATCAAGGAACTCCACGGTGCCAAGCGGAATGGCTGCTCCTCAGGATGGGGAGAAACACAGAAGAGACGAGAAACTTCATCAGTAAGTTACAGAGTGTGGTA